GTATAAGTCAGGTGTCTTGAGTAGTCAGCATTACCTACAAATCATTGTACACATTTGTAAATATTATTTTCCACTTGTTACCATTGTGAGTCTATTTCTATGCAGCTCTGCGTGATTTTGTGGCTACAATTCAGACTAATACACTACCAGAGGTGGAATAAGTACTCAGGTATTGTACTTGAGTAAAAGTACAAGTATTCAGATCTTGTAGTGAAATTATAAGTACTCAGATCTTGTACTTAGCAAAAGTAGAAGTACCAGAGTGTAGGAATACTCTGTCACAGTAAAAGTCCTGCATTCAAAATATTCCTCAAGTGAAAGTAGAAAAGTATTCTCATCCAAATATAGTTAAAGTAGCGACAGTAAAAGTAGTGATTGAGCAGATTGGTCCATTTCATAATATATGATATGTTTTATAATGATTGATCATGAAAGTGTTCTCAAAGCTGGTGAAGGTGCAGCTAGTTTGAATGACTTTGTATACTGCAGGGTAGCTTGTGGATTTACTCCAGGTGGAACTAAAGTCTGATTTAACACTTGATTAGATTTCACATCATTCATCCACATCTGTGAAGTAACTCAAGGTATTAAATACATTTAGTGGAGTAGAAGTACACCATGTACCTCTGAACTGTAGAGGAGTAGAAGTACACCATGTACCTCTGAACTGTAGTGGAGTAGAAGTACACCATGTACCTCTGAACTGTAGTGGAGTAGAAGTACACCATGTACCTCTGAACTGTAGTGGAGTAGAAGTACACCATGTACCTCTGAACTGTAGTGGAGTAGAAGTACACCATGTACCTCTGACTTGACTTGACTGCCAACCTAAAAGTACCTCAAAAATAGTAATCAATAATGTATTGAAAAGTTATTTGGCTGATTGTTTTATATTGGCTCAGACAGGTTATATGGGACATACAGATGGGTCACTCATTTTGAAATATTAAACTTAGTTTTCTTTTCTTTAATTTTTCATCCTCGTGTAGAAGGCTATCACGAAACACACATTTGGTTGTTTATAGCATAAAGAACATCTGATTTAATGTGAGGTAGGGAAATAATCATTTGAGTATGTGTATATAAATATGTAATTTACAACAGCTGTAAGATGCTAGAAAATGCACCTTGAAAATGCTTGAAAAGTGCTTGAATTTGACTTTGGAAAAGGTGTAAGAACTCTGACTGTAGTGATAGCTCACCAGCTATCGCTAGTCAATCAACATGACTGAAAAGTGTAGCACTAACGTCAACACCAGTCGTATACGTTAAGTTCAGCCATAAACCACATAAGTCAGTCATGTATTATATCAAAACCGCTTAGCAAGAAAAATACTAGATTCAAAGGTGACAGCCATCTGCTAGCTTGTAGAAGCAACACTAGATGTAGACCCCTTGAAGGGAAGACGTTAGCGCTATCCAAACTAGCTAGTTATCGCTAGTTTTCATGACAAAATGTAACGAGTCGACTTTAAATAGGCTAATACAATGGTAATTAACTATCAATAGTACTTTCTATAAACACGTAAATGTTAAGTCCTTTCAAATACTACCACATACTTCAGTTAAATCATATGCCGTCGCGGCCGTCGTGAAATTCCCACCCTGCCCGACACATGGGGTCACGCCGGCCAATCACAAAGCTTTGATGTGTTCAAGTGCATTATTCTGGCACAGGAAGATTATGTTTTAGGACATTAACGATAAAATAGAATATTGTAGTTCTATTTTTAGACACATTTCGCGATCGACTGGTTGGGCACCCCTGCCCTATATCAATGTGTGCATAATTATTAGGCAGCTTCTTATCCTCAGGCAAAATGGGCCAAACTATTTATTTAACTAACTCCAAAATTGTAAAAACGTGAAATATTTCAGAGGGATGCAGCAATCTTGAAATGACAAAGATATTGAGGCGTGTTCAGAAGACCCTCAAAGGTTTGTTGCAAATAGTCAACAGGGTGGCAAGAAACGTGTTGAGAGAAGAGACGCAAATAACTGCCAAAGATCTGAGAAGAATCAAACGTGAAGCCACCAGGAAGCCATTATCCTGCAGTGCTGTCTGGTTGGCTGTGGTTGCTGCGGCAACAGGTGATCGTCAACAGATCAACAAACTGACACACTCCACTAGGGGTGTAACGGTATCCGTATTCGTCCCGTACCGTCACGGTTCGGCACATCCAGTCACACGGCGAATGCGCCTTTTTTTTACGACTGGGAAAAAAGTCTGTCACTCAGGGCAGTATTACACTATTTATAATCCAGGGGGCGGTATTGCGCCTAAAAGCCAGCCGCCCGTAAATAACAAATGAAGAACAAGAACAAAACACAACAAAACGAACACAATACATGAAGAAGAAAAGTTAGTTGCTACGGCGAGTTCACACAACACACAGGAGCTAGAAGACCCACCTGCTTCTTTTAAATCAGGTGTGTGGTAACATTTTGGGTTCCCTGTGGACTACAACAATGATGGGGTGCGAGTTGTGGATCGGACGAGGACGGTGTGTCGGCGTTGTTCGACAGCTGTGTGGTATGCTAGTGGTAACACGTCAAACATGCTCAATCACCTCCGAGTCAGTCTCAGTCCCAGCGAGAGCGTTTTCTCGACGGCAGGTGACATAGTTACCGCCAACAGATCTGCCCTCACTACTGACAACGTAGACAAACTCATCTTTTTGAAGAACAACTTGAAAATAGAGTCAAGCTTGAGTACCTTTATTTAGGCATAATGGCCTCACACACTCACAAGTTAATTACACATGTTAGACATTGCTCCTAAAGGTACAGATTTTATTTTGTTTTATATTTATCATTGTATTTATTTTATATGTTGACATCAGGAGATGTTATACAGTTCTGTATTGCCTTTTATTGATTGTGATTTAAACACTTACTTATTATTTATTTTAATATTTTCAAGACATTCTTTTTAGTTGTACAGCTTATTTAACCTTTTTGTTTGACATCAGCTAATATAAATAATATGGCCATCTGAGTGTGTGTGTTGCTGTTTGTGGTTTGTTTTTAACTGTGTAATACAGCTAATGATTCCAAATGGTAGAGTTCCTTATTTTCATACCAAAACTAAAAAAAAATATGCATTTGGGACTTTTTTTTGCTTTTCCTTGTTGTACCGAACCCGTACCGAACCGTGACCCCCAAACCGAGGTATGAACCGAACCGTGACATCTGTGAATCGTTACACCCCTACACTCCACCAATGGAAGGCTTGTGACTGTTATTGAAAATAAGGGTGGCTTTATTGGTCACTGATTTTATTTTTTGAAATGTCAGAAATATTTATTTGTACATTTTGAGTTGTTTGTTTTATTATTCTCACGAACAGATTAAGTGGGATGGGATATGTTTTATCTTTTATTCAGTTGCATATTCATACTGTACACTAGGGGTGTAACACGTACCCGTACCGAAATTATTCGGTACGGGCCCTTCGGTTCGGTACAGGTGTGTACCGAAGTGTACCGAACGAATATAACGTTAAACGTAAAAAATTGAGAACGTGAATAACTTTTTGGAAGTAATCTCAGGTGCTGCATCGCAGCATTCAGAGTAATTTGCTCACATTGGGTTCAACGCGTCATAGAGCGAGCAAGTCATTTCATTGGATGAGAGGCATACTATGAGAGCTGGTCAGAGGGATGCGTTCAAATGTAGTCAGTAATTTGAGAACTGTCGAAATGGCGAACGCAGATACAGTTGAGCTCGAAAATCCTCCAGCATCATTGAAGTCTCCGGTTTGGGAACATTTTGGTTTCGCAGTTACGTACAAGGATGACGGACAAAGACAGGTGGACCGAACCAAAGCTGTTTGTCGGCATTGTTCAACTAAAATTGGTTACGCGGCTGGCAATACATCAAACTTGCACACTCTTGAAAAGGCATCACCCGAACGTGAATATCACCGGTACCAAAAGAAAAAATGACTGAAGTGCAAACCCAACTCCCACTAGCATTCAAGCCTCCACCACTCGCAGAGAGTTCAGACCGAGCCAAAGCTATTACAAACGCCAAACATCCTTATGTTGCCATGTTAGCAAAGCGCTACCTGGCTGTATATGCTACCTCTGTCCCTAGAGAGGGTGTTCTCCACAGCAGGAGACATTGTTAGTGCCAGCAGATCTGCACTTTCGGCAAGCAATGTGGACAAGTTCATCTTTCTTTAAACAACATGAAAATACAATGACAAGCAAGTCATAATGTCAAACTGGCTGCTTAGGTGCTAGTACAGTTCAGTTCAAATACAGATTATTTCAGTTCATCGACATGCTGCACCTTAATGTTCATTTTATTATATTTTGTATTTATTTGAGTGAATATTCACAGTTTAATAATAATTAAAAACCCAAAACTAATAGTTTATGTTTTGTGAGTACTAGTACAGTAAAGTTCAAATACAGATTATTTCAGTTCATCGAAATGCTGCACCTTAATGTTTATTTTATTATATTTTGTATTTATTTGAGTGAATACATTATTCACAGTTTAATAATAATAATAAAAATATATATATATATGTTTTGTTTTGTGAAAAAAAATTCTGCTATACCGAAAACGTACCGAATCGAACCGTGACCAAAAAACCGAGGTACGTACCGAACCGAAATGTTTGTGAACCGTTACACCCCTACTGTACACTAATAGTTGCCCATTAATTGTGCACACAGAGATATTCTCCAAAGAAAGCCAAAACTCCAATTTCCTAAATATTTAGTAGAATAAATCCTCAAAAATACAACTTTCCTAATAACTGTGAAGACAATGTATGTGTGGGTTCAAACACAACGTTGTTTTTTTTAACAAATCTAAAAGTAAATACCTGTGTATATATAAAGGCTGTAACACTGAAAACTCATATTCACCTTTTTATGTCAAACCAAAATGTTTTCTGTATAAAATAAAATAAAATGTAAGTTTTGTTCTCTTTGTTCAAATGTGTAACTTTATTTTTCAAATGTGCCCCATGCTTATGTTTCCAGGAGCGTCACATGGTCATGCACCGTCGAACCCACACCGGAGAGAAACCGTACGCCTGCAGCCAGTGTGAGAAGACCTTCAGACAGAAGCAGCTGCTGGACATGCACTTCAGACGCTACCACGACCCCAACTTCGTCCCCACTGCCTTCGTCTGCCCCAAGTGCAGCAAGACCTTCACTCGCAGGGTAAACACACTCCCATCTGAAGTGAACTCTATTGGCTTAATAACAGTCAGCAGCCCATCTAAAAGTATTTTCTTGTAGAACACCATGGCTCGCCACTCTGAGAACTGCAACGGTGAGGTGGATGATGCCGAGAATGGATCTCCAACCCCGAAGAAAGGAAGGAAGAGGAAGATGAGGACCAGGAGAGATGAGGATGACAGCGGTGAGAATTTTATATTGCACGCAGTTGCGGGCATGGTGCTGCATTTGCTCTTTTCTCATTTGTTTATCTGACATCTGACTGTGTTATTTCGCTGTCATGCAGAGGAGGATCATGGAGAACTAGATGAGGAGGATGAGGGTGAGGGTGAGGAAGAAGAACTGCTACAAGAAGAGGAGCAGCCAGAGGACATGGAACTGGACCAGGCCCCTGCCGCCATCCCAGTCCCGGCTCCTGACGAGCCACCAGTCAAGAGAAAACGAGGCCGACCCCCAAAGAACGCCCCCAAGCCCCCAACACCCAGCAAGTCTGCCCAGGTGGCTGCCAAGGCTGCTGCTGCTTCTGGTGAGAGCACTGACAGGAGTGATTGGACAAGAAAATAGAGCAGTTTCACGGGAAACAGGATGTATTTAGTCGATGGGTAGGGGGGTGTTATATAATGTATATGTTCTGTAAAAGCACATGCCCTGTATATATATCTAACCCTAATTCTATATTTAGTGTGATTTCTGTCAGTCAGAATATCCATTTTTTGGCACCATGGCAAAAAGATACAAGTCTGTGCACGTTTGATCTCAGCTAGAGGCACATTCCAATGCTTTATGACAACATACACAGCGTTTTGATGAATGCAGAAAGAAAATGTCTTTCATTCCAGCATTATGGTACTGACCTGTGATTTGGCAACGGTTCAGGCATTACATTTCCTTTTTATTTAGCTGGTAAAGTCATGCTTTAATCTTAGTCTTGACATGAAAGACAAAATAAACCGAATATCGGTGCAGCTCTGAGGTGAGTCTTTGTGCTTGCAGCTGCTGCCATCATTCAGGTGGAGGACGAGAGCACCGGAGCGGTGGAGAACATCATCGTGAAGAAGGAAGAGGGCGACGGCTCTGCAGCCCCCCTGGAGCAGGAGGGAGCCCTGACGGTGGAGGAGCTGGGGCTGGATGGGGGGGGGATGGAGACTGTGGAGCTGGCTGTGAACGAGGAGACAGCGGCCGCCGCCAACGGAGACCTGACGCCAGAGATGATCCTCAGCATGATGGACCGGTGAACCCCCACACCGGACCATGAGTGAAACTGGCAAACACATAAACATTTCCACCCCCCCCGGCCTCCCCCTTATATAGCACCTACGGCAGATCCTAATGGTGGCCATTAAAGTGGCTGCTAAACCAACCGTGCAAAAGAAGGGAAGCTGCACGTAAATACGCACTAAAATAACTTCACATCCATGTACACGACACACTGATGTTTGTGGGTCTCAGTTACACACACAGCAAAGCTCACACAGATGTCCTCCCAGACTGCTCTGCTCTTATTTCAGTTTGAATGTCTTCTGAATGAATCATCGTGTATTTAATACTTTGTTCTACCCAAAGCCACTTCCTGTCAGTCTCTAACCAAACTCTGCAGCTACTGCTCAGCTCTGAGAATGATTTGATCACATTTCACTTTGATTTCCTGCCTGCTGTTCTTGCAACTATGCTGAATTAGCAAATTCCCAGCATTTATATTTGTATATATAGATTTAAATGTAGTTTTTCCTAATGAAACGTAGTATATGGTACTTGGGTTGAGAAACACCTTGCTTTCAGTTATACGGCTGTATATTTTTGGCTTGTTTAACACTTGGTCCGTGTTTTGGTATTTCAATATTGAGACTTTTATAGAATGAAGTTACGGGGATTTTTCTTCATTCATGAGCAAACGTGCAGATCCATCGAAATGACCAGAAGTCAGTGATATAGAATGATTCAGCTTTCTTCTTCATCTTTTTCACATTCACACTGTCAAAGGTCATTCAGTTTCCCCATCAACAACATCATTCTTTTTCAACAGTTTTTATTTTGGCTGACCTCGATGCTCGAAGGAATTGTTAATGTTCGTCCTCCTCGTGTTCCGAGCTTTCATAGAGGTAGTTTGGTTGACTGAAAATGATTTAGTTGGCAAAACGCTGTACCCTAGTCGTGATCTTGAGCATTCCAAATACTTCAAAACACATGAAATGATGTCTATGCATTTCAATCATTTCACTTCAAGTAATAGACAGAAACACTCGAACATTTCATGATTTCAAACCTTTAGTTCACCAGATATGTCCCTCGAGATCAAACATCTCTTTTTCAAGGGAGACCTGCAAAATGATGATGCCAGTTGCTCTTTCTTTTTTTTTAAATGAATTCAATTCTCAATTAACATTGCTTTTGGAACAGGTATTCTAAACCAGATTGTGAAGAATATCTAAATAATCTATGATGGAAAACTGGCAGGTGTTTTTGCATGTAAATACACATTTGCTTTCTGATTGATCCTAATATGTATAAATGGCTGATAGGGAGATGTGTTGGTGAAAGGACATCGGGTTATCATTTCAATGGTTAACATGTTGGGGTCACTCATGTCCTGTCTGCTTCCCTCCCATCAGGCTGTCCTCCACCAGATGAGCCCCTCTAACCAGCCAAACTCATCTGAACCACTTTCAGTTTCTGAGTGTTGTCTGTTATTCAAAGATGTGTTCAGATACAAAACAGTTTTCACTTTGACATTTTTCATTTCTGATCACTTTGTAGTTGCTTAATGCTGATCCTAAGATATGCCCTCTCCATGTCCCTGATTTATGCAAAACAAAGGTTTCAAATCATCTGAATCAAGGTTAGAACAAAGAGATCACCGTATGATTTGAGTCGTCCTTCTAAGTGTGACCACAGGTGATGATGGTTGAGTGTGGCCTTCCTTTTATAACATGTTATAGTTACATAGAACCATTGGTTAGATCGGCCCAGCACTGTAAATAACCATGGCAACAGAAAGATAGTAAACATTTTGTAAGAATCTTTAAACGGACAACAATTGTGTGACTGTGGTCTGAGATACATGTCATTCTGTAAAAGGAGAACAAAATGTCCTGTCATCACCCTATCATCGTCATCATTATGTTCTGCAGGCGGACGGACGGGAGATGGATGTTAAGACTGTTTGCATAGCAACAACAGCATTGTTTTTTTGTTTGCACACTGCTTATTTGTTTCGGCAGAATAAATTAAAGAGAAAAGTTTTAAAGATGTTTAACACATCCCTGTTTTCAGACTGAGAGAACAGGAGAAACCTTAGTCATGTCATCATGGAAGATGAGACACTGTACAGCTGATAAAGAATAAAATCATCCCATGTGCCCATGTCTGCCGCATCACTGTTTTTATTCATACTATTAATAGCACACAATGGCTCTGATATTATCCAATATGTTTTCTGTTTGTATATAGGCTAGGGATGGAGGCAGTGTCATCTACTGTATGAAGCTAAATGTTCAATAAGGGAGACTACCTTACATTCATTCATTTCTCTTATTCTCCAGCTGCATCTAATCAACAGTATGGGCGTCCATGTTTTACTTTCATCTCAATACCCATTCATCATGCTGCTTTCAGATTTTCAATCTGTTCTCTCTCCTGCCGTCAGCTGTCATTTCAGGCTCAACAGAGTTCAGGAACAGATGGCGGTAACTATCACTCAAATGTGCGGTCCCTCAACCCTCCTGTTGTCTTCGGGTCAAATCTGACCGATTTACTATTTTCATCAATCATAACTTTCTTGTTTTTACAGTCGATTGCATTACGGCTTTATGATTTCCTTCTCAGTAGACATTTGAACATGTACAATGGCTGATCACCACTTTCATTGAATTTTGGATGATTTAGTCAACTTTGTAACACCCATGCTGTTCCCGGTTGACCGCCATAAAGAATACTAATTAGTAACCATCCGGATCAGATCACACACACACACACATACTCTAGATGTGTGTCTCCCCCCCCCCCCCCCCCCCCCCCCCCCCTTATGTGCCAAATCCCCCCACATGGATCACACTTATGGGCTCAGAACAGTCTCATAATACATACATGCACACAGAAGGATTCAAACTTGTATTTCCGGATCCATACTTGTGTTTTTCAATGCACACACAAATGTATTCCGTTTCATATACATGTAAATAAAATCCAAATACAGAAAAAAGTTTTACATATGTATTTTTGATCCTCACATATTACTTTCCCGTTTACATCCTCTGCACCTGCAAACACAAACCGCTTTCTGTGCACGGATCGCTGTGCATTCTTGTGTGGCTTTTTTGAGACTCCCCTGACGGTCAGCCGATTCGTACTTGTAATTTTTTCTATCTATAGCCAATCAGATGTCTCCTTCATTCTAAGCCAATCACATGAGCGCGCCCCCACGAGGGTAAGATTACTTCATATACGCATTTTGCGCAGGCCGGTCAGCTCGCTAAACAGAGGGCGGAGCATCAGGTGATCATGCAGAGCTGCGTGTCTCCATCAGACTCAGCAGCTGATCTGATCTCTCTCTTGCGTCCGGTTATACTTCACTCGCGTTTATGTCCATATCGATCAGATCCAGCTCTCCTGATCGGCCTTTATAGAGAGCACCGATCAAACTAGTGAATATCGGCCGATAATGACCGGCGGGGCTCCCCCCCATTAACAGGTCACTGTCTAGCACAGGCTTCGTAGTGCACTGATCGATTAGGCTAAGCTAACCTGTAGCTGCTCCCTCCACACTCACAACAACTTCATACAGACATAAATAAAGCAGCTGTATTCGCCATACAGGAAACACACATTTAAAACGGTTTTGCCTGCCGTTTTTGTGTACACAAGCATTCATCAATGGTTTGGAAAGTGGCGCTGTACCTTAATAATATAAAGGCTTGTATTTGCGTGCATTTCCTGTTCGGAAAGTGGCGCTGTACTGAGAGTGGAGGGTGTCCTGAGATTAGCGCCTGCAGGCAGGCTCCATGGAGCTGTCAGCTCCGGACTGCGCAAAATGCGTACATGAAGCGCTACGTCATGAACGCAAGAAATCTACCCTCGTGGGGGCGCGCTCATGTGATTGGCTTAGAATTTAGGAGACATCTGATTGGCTATAGATAGAAATAATTACAAGTACGAATCGGCTGACCGTCAGGGGAGTCTCAAAAAACCCACACACGAATGCACAGCGATCCGATTTACATGTATATGAAACGGAATACATTTGTGTGTGCATTGAAAAACACAAGTGTGGATCCGGAAATACAAGTGTGAATCCTTCTGTGCGCATGTGTGTATTATGAGACTGTTCTGAGCCCATACACACCTGGCACACGCAATACATGTTCAGTGTCTATTCTTTGTATCTTTACTGCAGTTGTTCATGTATACCAGTAGTCTGATACAATACGTACAATTTGAAAAGATGTTAAATGAAATACACCCTAGGGCAGGGGTTCCAAGTGGGGGTCGCGTTTACAAAATAAAAATTGAAAATTAAAAATAAATAAATAAAACATTTAATCAATTTTTTTGTAATTATTATTATTAATAATAACGTGTGCATAGACAGTTTTTAGGGACGGACTAGCCATCTGTTTAATTTCCCCGCAGGGACCCTTTGTTTAATTTTGGGATAAAAAAAAGTCCCATAATCACTGATGTATGTGAGTCAAGACAGTTCTGAAAATAACTGGACATTGAATTAATCCAGTTTCCTAACTCCTCAGGTCAAAGCTTTTACTTTAGGATTCCAGATGCTGCAGCTCAGTGTAAATATACTCTGAGGGCTTCAAACTCCACATCACACTTGTTAGGTTGCACACTGGACCATGATTGACTTCTTAACTAGTTATTCTGTCATAAATCCAACTAATGCGTGTTAAACTCAGATTCACAGACAACATCCAATAAGAAAACTACATTGTAAGTGATTATTAGATAAATATGCCTAGGCCCTTGTACAAAGTGAACACATTTTCTTTCACTCTTCTTTATACTTTTCAACACCTCAAAATAATCTTTACTCAAATACAAATTTGAAAGATTGTGGTGCACGATTTGTGTTTGAATGCAGGTTTGGTACCCCCTGGTGGTTAGAAACAGCCCCGCATATAAACAAGCTGTTGGTCTTGTATGATTTTCTGAAATACGGTTCTTCTTTAACTCCTGTAATTAATTATTATCTGTGTATCCCCATAAAGCATTCAGTGTGTTGACAGTTTGAAGCTGAACTTAGTGAAACCGCAGACTCCTACAAGTGTGGGAGGTTGGAGGCTTCAGTCGTCTCTACCTTCATGACAACAGTGACTAACAGCATGGAACAGGAAGTGTGTGTGCAGAAACTGTGCAAGCAAGGAGAGCTGATGTGTGCAAGCAGGGGTGGAAAAAGAAAATGGGTTGTCAGTGCATCTGTAAAACGTGTGTGTGTGTGGTGTGTGTGTGTGTGTGTGTGTGTGTGTGTGTGTGTGTGTGTGTGTGTGTGTGTGTGTGTGTGTGTGCGTGTGCGTGTGTGTGTGTGTGCGTGTGTGTGTGTGTGTGTGTGTGTGTGTGTGTGTGTGTGTGTGTGTGTGTGTGTGTGTGTGTGTGTGTGTGTGTGTGTGTGTACTAACACCTTCCTCCTCTTGTCTCCATTCCTCAGCTGACGCTGGATGTGACACTGTTTTTCTGATTGTTTTATTCAGATCAGATTTTTTTTAATTTACAGATATGTTTCCCTCCAATATGTCTTCCTCTAGTGAAGATCATGTTCTGTAGAATCAGCCTGAGAAGTTTTCACTAGTTTACTTATCTTGGAGGCGATCTCATCTTGACTTTTTGGTGCATTTCTTTATAACATGCTATTGTCTCATTAAAGTCTCTACAGAATGGACTCCGTCTCTCAGAACCTGAAAGGTAAGATGAGCCTACTTTACATCAATGATCTTTACTTAGAGTAGATTTGATATACTTTATTTATTACACAATAAGACATTATTTTGTCCCCGCAGCTTGTTAACAGGCATTACACACAAGTTAAACATATAATAAACAACTGAATATATACAGTACTTCTCAACAGATATACTGTATAGATTATACATTGTTGAATTAAAGAATTAAAGCTATTAGATATATGGAGAGAATTGAAACCACTTGAAAAAGGTATTCCTGTTATTCTAACACATTCTATCGAATAGATTACTTTTTGATTTCCTCAGAATTGCGTACACAAATTTGGTGCAAAAAATGGCTGCAAGATGAAGAATTCGTAAAATATATAGGAGGATAGATCGACGAGTTCTTTTAAATAAATACTACACAAACCTCTGCCTGTACGAGATGGGAAGCTTTTAACGCTTTCCTGAGAAGACATAATCATTAGTTATACAGGGTCAAAGATACGAGAGGAGAGATTAAGATTGGCAAACAAAACTAAAACTCTTCAGGAAGAAGTCTTTGAGAAAAGCAATCCTCAACTGGAAAGTGAGTTACTAATTTTGAGAGCTGAATATGATCAACTGTCAGCTTGTAGCCCTGCCTATAGTCTTTTAAGACTGAAACTAACTTTCTATGAACAAGCTGATAAATCAGGCATTAGCCACTAGCATTAAACAACTAGAAACCAAAACATCACTAACAACCATTCCAATCGGGATTGTTGTGGATCCTACAGAAATTAATTATAAATTTAGTGACTACTATAAAGATCTTTATAATATAAAAAATGAAACTAATGTACGAAACATGAATAGATTCTTAGATTCACTATCAATGATCCAAAGAGAACATAAACAAGATCAAGAGCTAGAAATGAACAAGGACGAGATTGGGCACACCAGATGCTCTTCCAATTGATCTTTATTAAATATTTCAAAACAAATTGCTTACACCTCTAGTTGAAATGTTATCAGAGGCTTTTAAGAATGGCAGTCTTCCACCCTCAACGAACAGTGACTTAATCATTTTATTACCAAAACCAAATACTCTAACAAATGTGAAAAAATTAGACTCATAAACTTGTTCAATTCTGACCAGTGGCGTTTTCTCCTGGAGGCCAAGGGAAGCCAGGCTTCCCCTGTTTTTTCGGATTGTAGTTATAATTTTAATAAATAAATAAAAACACTTCGTTTAGTTTCGGAAATTCTTTGTTGTGTGTTGCTGCCGGCCCGTCTCTCCCCCATTCTCATTGAGTATTTTACAAAGAGTGAAACAGCACCCCTGTAGATGTTATGGTGAAACAGTAGATTGCACTCTCTGTTGCGAAAGGAGGCTCGCCGAAATTGGCTTCCCTTGGTGAAAAAAAATGGAGGGATTGACCAATCAGATGAGGCTCACGTCATGCCCCTGCCGACCTGTGATTGGTCAGGGCCATGCCAAGGGAAGCCAGAGGCGGCTGGCTTCCCTTGCCTCACAATCCAATCAAATCGCATCAACTTAGTGTTGCAGTGACGCGTCCTAAAACCCGGAAGTAAGCTGCGCTCGTTTTCCCTCGACAAAAAAGCAATGGGATTTTTCCTTAGGATTTTGGAAAATAGCTCGAAATAAGCTCATAAATGTGGTTGAACGCCTCACCTTGAAGGTGGACAACTTACAGACTGAGGTAAAAGACTTGAGAGCACATAGCCGTGGAGCTGAGAATGGCAGAGGGAGCTCCGCCTTGACCTGGGATCGTCAGAGGGTGCACCGGCGTGCCTGCCACTATGATTGTGGCGGGTTTGGTTGCAGATCTACCACCGGGGATTCCCACAGGGACGACCGCAGCAGGGGCCGTTCTCCTCAGCGCAGACCGCAGGATGGTTTTGGTGCCAGGGAATGGTCTCCACGTGAGCTGGGGACCCGAGACACCTCTGCGGACTTCTCACCGCGACGACTAGGCAGCGATGTCCAGCAAGGATCACACAGCGCTGGGGAACGTCAGCCAAGGCGTGGAGTGAGGTTTGTGTCTCCCTCTCGGCGGTCACCATCTCCATCCTCGCACGGACGGCTGCAGGGAAACTTCCAGTGACTGGCATCAAGACCCAGATGCCGGTTTCACCACTATAGGGTCAAATGGACTATTCTGCTGGGAAAGCGCCTGCTTGTGCATTGGACTCTTGTTCTGTGGGTGAGTCTAAGCCCACAGCCTATGTTAGAGGACTTGTTGAGGGTGTTGATGTTACTGTTTTGATTGACTCTGGGTCCAATGTTTCACTTATTTCTGAGGACTTCAGAATGTCCATGTCTGCCTTACGTAAACGTGTGCTAAATACCCAGTACACTTTTTCACGCACAGTAAATGGTCAATTGTTGGACACTCTGGGTACTGTGACTCTTCCCATACAGTTGGGGGGCAAACATTGGGAGCAGTTTGTACATGTAGTGCGAGGGGCAACACAAGCTATTCTGCTGGGGTTTAATTTCATGTTGCAGGCTCGAGCTGTTATGGATGTTGGTCGGTCGTGGTCTGCTTCACCTGGGGGATGTTGATATTCCTCTCATGCATGCCACAGATTTCATACCAGAATGTTGTAACATCTCTATGTCTGTTGATGCTATTATTCCCCCTTTCAGTGAAATGATTGTCCCAGTTAATGTGGATATTCCCCGTACTGCTGGTCTGCCGACTCTTTCTTAGGCTACCTGGAGCCTGAGGTGCGTGATAACGTGGGACTTGTGATTGCACGTACAGTTGCACCTGTGAAGAATGGATGCACTGTGGCCAGGCTGCTCAACCCGACAGAGAAGGAGTTAAAGCTGCACCCCGGCTCCCATTTAGGTGTGTTCCACCATGTTAAGGACTGTGAGCTACTCACCCCCTCTGAGGTTTTCCCCTCTCAGCAGGGGGCTACCCCTCTGCCGGATGTGGCTGGCTTCCCGTTGTCTGCTGAACAGAGACTGCAGCTGCAGGCCTTGATGGGGAAACACCATGGGGTGTTCGGCTATGGGAAGGGCAGAACAGGAAACACCGGTCTGATCAAACACCGCATACAGACAGGTGATCATTCCCCGGTCAAGCGTCGGGCCCACCGTAGGCAGACAGACAGGTTCAGCGCCTGTTGGAGGATGACATAATTGAAGAGAGTTGTAGCCCGTGGTCCGCCCCAGTGGTCCTCGTCAGGAAAGAGAACAACACATGGCGATTCTGTGTGGATTACAGGGGACTCAACTCTGTGACAATAAAGGATTCTCATCCACTGCCACGGGTGGATGACACATTAGACGCATTGGCGGGGGCCTCCTGGTTCAGCACCTTGGATTTTTCTGACGGTTACTGGCTGGTGGAAGTGGCTGAGGAGGACCACGAAAAGACAGCATTCACCACTGGCCAGGGCCTATACCAGTTCAAATCCATGCCTATGGGTCTGACCAATGCACCCGCTACCTTCCAGAGGGTTATGGAGCTGGTGTTAAGGGGGCTGCCATGGCACATCTGCATGGTGTATCTTGAAGATATACTGATTTACAGTAATTCGTTTGAGGCCCACATGTCTGCTTTGGAGGAGGTGTTCATTCATTCATAGATTGAACGCCAGAAAGTGCCATCTTGCCCGTGATCACGTGGTATTCCTTGGTCACGTCATCTCCGCCGGGGGGCTTCGTCCTGACCCCCGTAACACAGATAAGGTGAAGACTTGGCCAGTTCCACCGTCCGCTACAGAGGTGCGTGCTTTTCTGGGTCTCTGCTCTTATTATAGGAGGTTTGTGAGGAGTTTTGCCCAGCGTGCTGCCCCCCTCAACCATCTGACGGGAAAGGATGTCCCTTTTCAGTGGACGGCGGATTGCCAGGAGGCATTTGAGTTTTTGCGGGATGGTCTTTGTGCCGAACCTATCATGTGTCTGCACCTGTCCGCCGTAACCTTCGTTCCCTCTCCCCCTCTACCTTTGCCTCATAGGTGCTCTCAGCCCTCCCTTCCTCGGACTCGTTCCAACTACTACCTCCAAACTCTGCTGCAGAAACTCTCCTCTCTACTCTCTCATCCTCTCTGGACTCGCTCTGTCCTCTCACATCTCGGCAGGCTCGTCAGTCCCCTCCTGCTCCCTGGTTAAATGATGCACTGCGTGCTAATAGAACCGTCCTTAGGGCAGCAGAGCGGAAACGGTGGAAATCCAAACACTGTGACGACCTCCTAACCTATCAGGCTCTCCTCTCCTCTTTCTCTGCTTCGATCTCTCAGGCAAAAAGCACTTTCTTTCAAGATAAGATCCAATCTTCCTATTCCAATCCCAAAAAACTATTTTCCATCTTCTCCACCCTCTTGGACCCTCCCAAAGCCCCTCCCCCCCTCCTCACTTCTGTCAAGCGACTTTGTTATCCACTTTGAAAAAAAGGTTGATGATATTCGCTCTTCTTTTTCTGACTCACCTTTACTCACCGCTGGGTCACCAGACCCTCCTTCCACCCACACACTAACCTCCTTTTCCCCTCTCTCTCCAAGTGAGGTTCTTACCCTCATTACCTCTGCCCGCCCTACCACCTGTCCTCTGGACCCCATCCCTTCAAACCTCCTTCAGACTATCGCTCCTGATATTCTACCGTTTCTCTCCCATTTCATCAACACTTCTCTAACTTCTGGTCACTTTCCAAATAGTTTCAAGGAGGCAAGAGTAAACCCTCTCCTAAAGAAACCCACTCTCAACCCGTCTGATGTTATAAACTACAGGCCTGTCTCTCTACTCCCGTTCCTGTCTAAAACACTTGAACGCGCTGTCTTTAAACAACTCTCCTGTTATCTCCATCAGAATAACCTTCTGGATCCGCACCAGTCTGGTTTAAAGGCAGGTCACTCCACAGAAACTGCTCTCATTGCTGTCACTGAGGAACTGCACACTGCCAAAACTGCATCCCTCTCCTCTGTCATCATCCTGTTGGACCTGTCTGCTGCATTCGACACGGTGAATCATCAGATCCTCCTTCGCACTCTCCAAAAACTTGG